TCATTATTATTATTATTATTATTAACGTCATCTTCACAGACCTTTCTATCAGCAGATAGGCAATCCTCATTTTGATCATCCTCATTATCATCACCAACATTTTCATAATTACAGAAAGTGGCAATATCACTATCATCACCAGCAACCGGACTACTACTACTATTACCGCTTCTATTACCAAAGATAATGTAAACATTGTTTTTGTTTTGGATTTTACACCATATCAATGAGTGGGCGACAATGAGGATGATGGCAGGAATATAATATTCTATGCAATTTTGTAGAGTGAAGCATAGATCCATTGAAAGCAACGAGTTAGGAACGGTTTCGCAATAAGTTAGGCAAGTTTCTCGCCTGTACCTGACTCTGAAAATGATGACGATGATGATGACGTATGGGTTATGAAGATGGCGATAATGATGATGATCTTGATGATGATGACGACGAGGTTGTTGTTTAAATCCTTGTGTAATTAGAAAAAAAATTGCAAAAATTAATCTAACGTTCTCATAAAAAAATATGGAAAGCCAAATAAGACGGCCAGACACCAGGGCAACACAAACAGCAGCACAACACCTTTTTTATCCGGTTTACTTTTAATCGTTTTTGAATTTCTAGTAACGGTCCAAAGTTTGTAACAACTCAAGGTCACTATGGTGAATGAAATTGCCATCGTTGTAGATCTCTTTTGTTGGGAAATGAATGAATGAGTGAATGAATGAATGAATGAATGAGTTAATGAATGAGTGAATGAATGAATGAGTGAATGGATGGATATGTGAGTGAATTAATGAATGAATGAAGGGAATTTTTCAAATGAATGATCGAATGAATTGTTGATTTAATTAATACAGATTTTCAAACATATAAGCGCTTCTTAACCGAAAAAATAATTAAAATTAATAAATCAAACAACTCAAAAATGCCCAACCTGAAAAAAATGGCCGGTCTTACAACGGATCCAGACGCTGCAGAAATCAAACCTGTCAACTAAAACCACACGAAAGAGAAATACCGTCAAAATAGTGAAAAAAATTCCCGCTAAAACCTGACCACCAATCAAAAAATCAACCACTGTTTTTTTAGTCAAGTAGATGACATATAATAAAGACAAATTTCCAAATATGGAGATGATAGATAAGGTGATATAGACGATTAGGAAGAGTTTTTTGGGAGTTGGATTGTAGTAGAAATTGTCAAGATAATCCGTTTCGTAGTTTGAGTTGGATAAATTGCAGCGATTAACAGATTTGGGGTTCAGGATGTCGTAGTCAAAGTTAACCGAATCCATTTTTCATGTATCAAATGTTTTATATATTAATATTTATACCTAAATTGCGATGTTCTTTAGTAGGTTGAAAATATTTAGCATTTAAATGTTCAAATGATAAACTGTTCTCAGTTATTATTAGTTAGTTATTATTAACAACAATTACTAAAAAACCAAAAAAATTTTTCATGAGTTTAAAAATAAATTCGGATTTTTTTCATATTCCCATTAAATTTAAGTTTGCAGTTTAACGTTTAGCGTACAACTCTTTATCTTATTTTAGGTTTTGAAAGAAATACACACACGCATATATATATATACAAACACACAAACACACACACACAAACCAATTATTTACAGTAATAAAAAAAATATGTTTAAGTTCAAATTCAGTATGCGCGTTTGAAGGAATGTTAAAGTGATGATGATGATCTGATGACGTTGATAATGATGGTGATGATAATTTAATAGTTTAAGAAAAAACTGGGTATTACTGCTTATTCGAAATTGAACTAGACGAAGTAAAATGTTATTCCGCTCTGTTTTGCTGCAATGTTTACGCTAATAAACTACTATTCGCAATTGATGTCTTTATCACTCTGTATTATCATCTTCATCTTCTTCATCACGTCATCATCAACGTCATCGTCAGCATCTTAGTAGGACTGACCAAGATAGCAATATCAGATCGGTTACTCGGGCAGAAGACCGGCGGAATGATGCAAGTACTTCAGCACTTTATCGCACAGTACTTTTTCAAGTTCCTTTTTCACATCATCAATATTTTCTCCTGAATTTTGTGACACTTTTGAGAAATTATTTTCAAGAATTTTTTCAGTATTTTGATTGTTTTTAGCGTTGCCAGTGTGGTTATACGAGCTACTGTTGTAATAATAACTCCACTTTAAAGGGTGAAAATACATCAGATCGAATAATTTTGATTTTGTGATGTGTAGCCATGGCTTTCCGTGAGTCTCTACATCCCAAATTTGCAGACCTTTTAACGGCACCATGTTCTCAAAACTGTTCAAGCATCTCAACGCGTTAGGAATAGCAATCTCGAGGAATAATCTTTTCTTTAGGAAGTAATCGCCGATTTCGACAAATGAATTTGCAAGAAATCTAGGAACGTAATAAATATCGGAGTATCCGCCTAACAGTCGATTCTCACCGTCACTTTCAAATCGAATGTACTTGGCACAGGCTCGCAGTGTTTCCGATTTTTCTTTCGGTAACGATTTGAGAACATCCAATCCTTCTTTCTGGTAGATTTCCCACCAAGTCCAACGGTTGAAGAAATCGCAGATCCCTAATCTGCACTCTTTCAAATTTTCCAAATCCCCAATCCTGATTTCTTTCTCCGGCAAGAACCAGATGTAATCCGGATTCAGATTGACTATTTGATGCTGCAGTAACAACATGTCGTCTGATATCGTCAGGTAGCCTTCAATGGACCTATGTTGCAATTTCATTACTTTCAAAGTGCAATGGTAGTTTAAGGCACCTTTCACTTCTTTTTCTGGTTGTATATCGAACGTTAGAAAGGAAAGGTTGTATTCGAGTAGTTTTCGGTACTTTTTAAGATCGATTCGTTTCGGTCCGCAATAAAAAATTTTCGGGTACAGCGGTCGGTAGATTAATTCTAAAATCGGTATAACCTCGTAAAATGGATTGTTAAAAACGATTATTAGCACGATATTTCTCTTTCGATTCAACGTGTTTTTGAAATTTATCATAGCTCTTGTATCGTCATGCAGACACATTTCTTTATACACTCTCTGATTAATTTCAGAATTTTTTGATTTCGTCTTAACAACTGCTGTAGAATCTGATGTAGAGTCTGAGTGGCTTCTAACTTCACTCAACGTATTCAACGTTATGTAGGAGCAAATCTTGTTTTGAAATCTGCTGTTTTTGCCGAATTTCAGTTCAGGAAAGCCGACACTTTTAAGCATCTTCAGCCAGATTTTAAAACTTTCCATCTCATCTTTATCTATAAATTTCTGCAGAGCTCTGATGAAGCATCGCGTATAGTTCGATTCAACTCTCAAACATTCTCTGAAGTTGTTTTTTTCTCTTTGGCACTCACTAATCATCTTCTTCTCTTTATTATCATTATTATTATTACTATTATTATTATCATCGTCACCATTATCATCTTCAATTATTTCTTTGTAAACCTCGAAAAAGCTTCCAGAGATTCTAATAAAATACTGAAACAAACAGTTGAAACGAGCGTCTGTCTTAACGAGGTACTCTAGCGGCAAATACACAAAGGCGTTATAACTGAAAGTTAAAATGCTATCCTCATCAACTGGTACACTTTCTGTGGATATAGAGTTAAATTTATCCAGTAAGCACGAACAGCGGGCTTGTTTGGTGTTTGAGATGAATAACGATGGTGACTGGTTGTAATTCTCACACAGTTTCACCTTGCTGCATGGTGTATAACTTTGCGCATACAGGGATGGAAAGATCTCCATTTTTTTCTCCTCATCATCATCGTCGTCGTCATCTTCTTTTTTACTATTACCATCATTTTTTCTGAGGTCATCAGCGTCAGAAACGGTAGCGGAAATAGTGCCAATGACGTCATCATGTACGTCATCGCCGTCGTTGTAATTAGGTTTTTCGGTATGAAAGATGTAAGATTTTGAGGTTTCTTTGAAGTCGATGATGATGCCGACACGTTCCAACTCAACGGGAGATGTGTAAGCGTTCGATTTTATGTATTTGGCGCCGTTCTAACAGAAAGTGTAATTTAAAGAATAATTAAATTTATTAAAAAATCAAATAATTCGATAATTAATTAATTAAATAATAAAAGTTAGTTTTATGTACGTGTGTGTATGTGTGTGTGATCTGTGTGTGTGTATGTGTCTGGTCTGTGTGTGTGTGTTTGTGGTCAGTGTTGAGCGTGTGTATATACCTATATAATTCTTTTTCTAAGCATATAATTCTTTTTCGATTTACAGCAAATAATAAAATAACTACAAATGAGAAATAAAAATCAAAAAAATGATATTATAGATACTAAAAATTGATAATAAAAATGAAAAATGTGAAATATGGCCCACTTGAATAGCGAACAAGAAGGAATTTTGTAGTAGAGAGAGATGTTTATCATACTTGAACGGCTCGAGGTCTGATGCATTCCATATGACGAAACAATTTAGCCCGCTGGTTTCCAATGAATAATTATTAATAATCAATTAAAATAATTATTGTCATAATTATTAATGTAACAAATTAAACATTTAAACAAAAGATAAGTTAAACAAGACAAACCCCTCTTCTCTCGCAAAAGGAAACTCCATGGTGTGGATGATGCATGCCAAAGTCCAAGGCCTTTCATTATTCTTACACTTGGCTAAGCAGTGGAAGTAGCTGATCTCCTCAGTGATCAGCCATTTCGTCGGGTATTTTGGGGTATTTTCAACGGTACTGTTTGAGATTTCCTCATCAGATTTGGCGTTTTTGTCATCCTGTTTGATTTATTCATCGATAGGTCTGACGTAATAAGTCTTCGTAATTTAAAAAAAATTTATTAACGTTATTCAGTAAACTTATTTTAGAAGGCATACACGCTCAAACACAAACACACACCACACGCACACACACACACACACACACTCCACACATTGTAGATACATTCATCCCATTGTATTCTGCATATCGTGTGTTAATAAGCAGGATCTCTGTGCGTTCAAACTCGATCACTGTTACATTAGAGCCAGGCTCGTTAACTACTACACAATTTGGCAGCTACACTTTTAAATATTTTCAATTGATATTTGAAAAAATTTATCAGTGATCAATAACTCATTCTAATGTGTATGTACATATATTTGTTTACAACCTCAAAGTGCTGAATAATCTTAAAGACTGTTATCACCACACAGAACGCAAAAATAAACTTTTTTATTGATTTAACTTTGCGATAAGGAAAATATATCATTATTCATTTATTAATTAAATAATTAAATTGTAAAGTAATTTATTTAATCATTTATTTATTTATTAAGGCATTTATTTACTTATTATATATTTATTTTTATAAAAAATGTTCAAACAATGATCTGTTTACGTTTCTACTCCAATACAGGTAACACAGGTACGAAAAAGGTAGACTTAGTTTATTATCGCCGGGTTTTTCCAGCTTTCTAATTCATCGATTGTTAACAATTTATGAATTTTTAGAAGTGGAGTTTGTGAAATTAGTAAAAAATCTATGAAAATAAAGTTAATTTTATATCTTTTTGGTTTAATAAGTGCTTGAAATATTGATTTGAAACCGTTTTAAATGATTTTTATCTCGTAAACAATACTAAATTTAATTGATTAAAAAATAGCTTTATATGATGCAATTAAAAACGTTTAAACTAAATTTGTTCATTTAAAAATAATTACTATTAATCATCTTTTAAAATAATGAAACTGTTGAAGAAGTTAATCTGTTCAACTACTGACACCTATACTTTAAATTAAAATAAAACTTAAATTCACTTTTAAATGGGTTCAAATTTGAACACCTTTTAAACCTCATCACAGCACTAATTACTACACCGCACCGAGACGGATGTTAATAATTAGTAAAATTTCTCACTCGGATTTTGAATTTTAGTGAATTTAAAAGAAAATTCCGATAAAAATATCATTTATTCATTCGTATTTGTTGAAATTTTAAGATGTCACTGGAAATTTTGTCAGCACAGACACAAAGTTTCAAAGGTAAGGTTGTTGCATGCTTGGCATTTGCATGGGAGGGAATCCACTTATTTCTCGTTCTAAAATTTTTGTTTGCATGCGATAAAATTAAAAAAATAATATTAATTTAATTGTTGTTAAATATTTGTTGAAAATATTACAAAATATACACCTTAGATGAAGAAAAATCGTGTATTTGAATGTTCATTTAGTAGAATTAAAGTAACTTTTGAGTTTGGTGATGTTTTTTGTTGTAGAAATTCATTTTTGTGGTTGTTTGGCAAGAAAATTTAAAAATTGGTAATATTCCCAATTAGTTTTCAAATAGTTTAAAGATTGCTCAACACAACTAGATTAATCTTTTGATATTAGAAGTTAGTTTTTCAAGAAAAAAACTCTTTTTTTCAACATTTTTTATAAAAAATTTAAAGAATTAAAATTCCAAATTAGTTTTAATAAAATATCAATACAACTACAGACTCAGCCATTGAGCTGATTGGCAACAAATACAAGAATGTTCATGTACAGTCTGTTAATTTTGAAGTTAAACAAGACAAATATGAAGCAAAAATAGCTGTAAGCAACTTTATGACAAAATATTCTCAAAATACTTACATTTTAATTTAATTATTATTATTATATTTTCAATATTATTCAGTTCTTCAGATCTATCTATTGGTCTATAGGTCTATCTGTCTTTCTATCTATCTGTCTATTTGTCTATCCGCCTATCCATCTTTATCCATCTTTCCATCTTTAAGCTTTTTAAAAAATATCAACAACAAAAACATATGAATCAGTCAAACATCACATCCAACATATGATAGCATGTGATAGGCAGGGATTTTTCTGCATTCAAACCTGACAGCTGCAACACCAGTGCCACCCATTACACCATTCTGATGAAAAATTTTTAAGATATCTTTTTAATTCATTTTTATGAAGAATTAGAACAAGATGAAAGAAGTTTTTTTTCTAATAAAAATGAAACTCAATTATTTTAAACACTGACAGATTATCACAGATTTGAGGCTAATTATAGCAAAGCACAAACCTTTAAAGGTATTTCGTCATCATCATCTTCTTTATCATCATCATCATAAACAACGAGTTTGCTGATTTTAAATATCAATCTATTTTAGTTTAAACAATGAATAAATGAATCAAATAATCAATCAATCAATCAGTCATTTATTTATTCATTTGATCAATCAATCGATCAATAAATTTTTCTATATATCTATCTATCTATTAATCTATCAATTATTTGAAGATTGAATCAAGCATTCACTATGGAGACATAGTGTGTGTCAAATGCCAGGACACAAATATGGTATGTTTGTTTGAATGTTTGTCTGTCTGTCTGTCTGTCTTGTCTGTCTTGTCTGTCTGTCCTCTGACTGATTGTCTGTTTGTTTGTTCTTGGCACTTTCGTTTATTTGTCTTTCAAGGTGATAAATAATGCTGCACCCAGTTTTTACTTGATACACATGCGCGCACACACATACACGCATATACATATACTTATACACAGACATACATACATACATACATACATACATACATGCATACATACATACATACATACATACATACATACATACATACATACATACATACATACATACATACATACATACATACATACATACATACATACATGCATGCATGCATGCATGCATACATACATACATACATACATACATACATACATACATGCATGCATACATACATACATACATACATACATACATACATACATAGTATAGATAGCTACATACAATTAGATAGCTTAAGTACTAAGTCATTTGTGATCATTTAATTATGAAGAAGAAGAAGATGATGATGGTGATGATTGTGATGGTTATTACGATGATGATGATGATGATTACGATGACGACAACTTAACATCTTACATGACGCAATGTAATGTTATACGATGTAATAACATAATGTAACTCACTATATCTAATTCTTAATACAAAATAATACCTCGAATATATATACAACAGTATTACGATACTCAACTTTGAATACCAGGTATCTTTAGTATACGAACCGTGGAGTAGTAGTAGTAGTACTAGTGGTGGTGGTGGTGGTAGCGCGCCTGGCAGCGCCACAAAGCAAGTGAAGCTAGCAGCTGCGAGTTACGATGACGATTTGTCAATGTTCTTGAGAACTTTCTTTGAGTTTATCACCATCGTACATCATTATTATCCAATCAGGTGTTTGTATGTCTGTTTGTCTGTCTGTTTGTTTGTTTGTGTGTTTGTTTGTGTGTGTGTGCGTTTGTGTGTTGTGGGTTACTTAGTCAATCAATCAATCAATCAATCAATCAATCAATCAATCAATCAATCAATCAATCAATCACTTGTTGAAAGCAATCAATCAATCAATTTGACAAGTTAAGAAATTTATGAAGAGTATAATATACCAACCAATCAATTAGTCAATCAATCATTATATCAATTATTTAATATATCAATCAATCAATCAACCAATCAACCAACCAACCAACCAATCAATCAATCAACCAACCAATCAACCAACCAATCAATCAATCAATCAACCAATCAACCAATCAACCAACCAACCAATCAACCAACCAATCAATCAACCAATCAATCAACCAATCAACCAATCAACCAACTAATCAATCAATCAACCAACCAACCAACCAACCAACCAATCAATCAACCAATCAACCAATCAACCAACCAATCAATCAATCAACCAACCAATCAACCAACCAACCAACCAACCAACCAATCAATCAATCAACCAACCAATCAATCAATCAACCAACCAATCAACCAACCAACCAACCAATCAACCAACCAATCAACCAATCAATCAACCAACCAATCAACCAACCAATCAACCAACCAATCGACCAACCAAATCCTCACACCACATAAACCAGCAAAAAGCTACCGAAACTCGAGATATCCGACCACATTAGGAAGACTTTTTCGCATCGAGTCGGTTTCCCGGACCAACACGCCTACCTACTGTCGCCGTGTGGTAACTTCACCAACGTCTACCGGTCGAAATGTGACCAGTCGGATGCCATCTATCACGAAGATGTTGCGTGGGTCTGTTGTCGTTGTGGTGGTTTTGGAGGTTTTGTTGTTGTGGTGGTTTTGAAGGTTTTGTGATTGTGGTGGTTTTTGAGATTTTGTCGTTGTGGTGGTTTTTGAGGTATTGTGGTGGTTTTGAGATTTTGTCGTTGTGGTGGTTTTTGAGATTTTGTCGTTGTGGTGGATTTGGAGGTTTTTTTTCTCTGTAGAGTAGTCTATTTTTTAATGATGAAAATAATAACAACAACAACAACAACAATAATAATAATAATGGTAATAATAATAATAACGACTCTAGGACATAAATACCTTGTACAATTCAGCTGACAACGCCGAATTCATCCTGTCCGATTTTGAGAACATCCCACAGAAGTAATTTTATTATTATTATTGTAACAACAACAACAATAATAATTAAAAATATTATTATTATTATTGTTGTTGTTGTTGTTATTATTTTGTAGGCAGATGATTCCGTTACTGGCAGCCCTAGAGCACAATTTTTATTTCAAAACGTTCAATCTATCCAACGTGAAATTGGTCAGTGAATTTGAAGGTGTGGTGAATGATTGACTGAATGGGAAAAGGTTCATTCGTTCATTCATTCATTCATTCATTCGTTCGTTCGTTCGTTCGTTCATGCATTCATTCATTCATTCGTTCGTTCGTTCGTTCGTTCATTCGTTCGTTCGTTCGTTCATACATTCATTCATTCATTCATTCATTCATTTATTCATTCATTTATTTATTCATCCTTCATACATACACACACACACAAACACACAGACAAACGACCATTGCAACGAGTTACTCAAAGTTTTAAAAAGTAACATAACTGTACAGAGTCTTAACATTAGTAACACAGGCGTTAAAAGGTACAAATAATAATAATAAAATATATCATTATTATTATTATTATTATTATTCCCCCACCTGCCTTATTATTATTGTTATTATTATTCCCCCACCTGCCAAAAATTAGTGATTACGTGACGAAGTTGTTTCCAACTCTGCACCATCCACATCCCTTGTGCATCAAACATCTGGACCTTTCAAATAACCTCTTAGAAGACAAAGGTTGGATGAATGAGTGAATGAATGAGTGAGTGAGTGAATGAATGAATGAATGAATGAATGAATGAATGAATGAAGGAATGAATGAATGAATGAATGAATGAATGAATGAAGGAATGAATGAAGGAGTGAATGAATGAATGAATGAATGAATGAATGAATGAATGAATGAATGAAGGAACGAATGAATGAAGGAGTGAATGAATGATTGACTATTGAATAAATAATTTGTAAATAAAACATTCGCATTTACATTAAAAACCAGACCATCTTCGAAAAAAAAATCCTTACAACAGGCTTAACATCATTATGCACCTTCCTATCGACACACAACACTGAACTGGTGACCTTGAACTTAGCTTCGACGTCCTTGACCTACAAAGGTATCAACCAATTGGGCGAGAGTTTATGTTGCCAGCCGTGTTACAAGCAGACGCTGAGTAAGCTGGATCTTTCGGGCAATTTGTTGAAGGGTGATGATATTAGTGTTAGTTTTTTTTGTACCTACATACAAGACTTACAAACAAACATACATACATACATACAAACAAGCATACAAACAAACAAACAGACAAACAAACATACAAACAGCTGATGCATAAATTCTTAGCGGAGCAAAACAGATTACGGCATATAAACATCTCAGGCACAGATTGGCCTCTAGATACAGTAAGTCATACAATTTACAATTTTTTTATATCATCATCATCACTATCATCATCATCACTATCATCATCACTATCATCATCACTATCATCATCATCATCACCTTCTCTATTATCACCATCATCATCATCACTATCATCATCATCATCGCCAGTTTTTCTCAGCTGCTGCACGTGGTTGCACGCAGTACCTCCAAACGCTGAACGTATCAAACTGTGCAATAAGCAGAAAGCAGGCGGCCCTCAAAGATGGTCATCTCGCTGACAGTGGCCTCCTGCTGTCCTGGAAACAGTTTTTCACTTCCGTTTCCGGTTTAAGTTCGGTGGATTTTAGCAACGTTAAGATGAACGCCGAAGCTGTCAAGTTAGTTTGTTTGTGGATGACGTGTCATGTGACGTCATTGTTGTTGTTGGTGATGAAAACAAATATGATTACTTGTGATACTTCTCAAAGGTGTATTCTAGACGGTTTGCAAAATAACACGGTACTCAGCGATATAAAACTCATTCTGATTGGCTGTCAGCTTGGCCAATCACAGCCTTCGATCCAAATTTTCACTTCTAGAATTTCGACCATGAAGAATGTTACTAGCCTGGATATAAGTGATAACGGTCATTTTTTACTTTTCGTATTTTTATTAACGATAATAATAATAAAAAAAACAAAAGTTTTAATAATAATAATAATAATAATAATAATTACAATAGGTTTGGACCAGCTGTTAATAAACATAGTCGAAGAGTTAACTATTAACAAATCAATCAAGCAGTTATTCATTGGTAGTAATGTTATAACAACTAAACCGAGGTTATTATTATTATTATTTATTATTATTATTTATTATTTTATTTAGTTATTTATTTATTCAATAAAGTTTGAAATTTTTACAAACAGATGGGTTCATAAGTTGATGGAGAAGCTAGTAACAATGCTACAAGATGATAGAAATGTATGTGTGTGTGTATGTGTTTATGTGCGTTTATGTGTGTATATATGTTGTTTGTTTGTATGTATGTATAGTGTATATGTATGTTTGTCGATATGCACAAACATACATTCATTCATTCAAGAAGGGAGAGGAAGTATTTATGTTTGTATGTTTGTTTGTGTGTATGTGTGTGTGTTTGTTTGTGTATCTGTGTGTTTGTTTGTATGTGTGTTTGTATGTGTGTATGTTTGTTTGTATGTGCATGTGTAAATAATGAAAATTTTCGCACACGCCCAGCGAATAGAAACGATATCCCTTAAGAACATGAAAATAAAGTCCGACCTGACGATATTATTTGACGCCCTGGCCGCCAACGATAAACTTACGTCGCTAGACGTCAGGTAATTATCATTATTCTTCTTCTTCCTTCTCTTCTTCTTTTTTCCCTCCTCCTCTTCTTCCTCCTCCTTCTCCTTCTTCCTTTTCTTCTTCTTTCTCTTCTTTTTCTTCTTCCTCTTCTTCTTCTTCTTCTCTTTCTTCTTCTTCTCTTTCTTCTTCTTTTTCTTCTTTTTCTTCTTCTTCTTCTTCTTCTTCTTCTTCTTCTTCTTCTTCTTCATCTTCTTCTTCCTCTTTTTATTCTTCTTCTTCCTCATCTTCTTCTTCATCTTCTTCTTTTTATTATTTATTATTATTTATTAATATTGTTTATTATTATTATTACTCCCTGCCCAGCGAAAATGGCATGGGCGATGCAGGGGCGCGCATATTGTCGAAGGCCTTGATGTTGAACAGATCGATGTTGACGCTGGCGTTGGATGGCAGTCAGCTGACGCACGTTGGCTTCGAAGCTGTGGCCAGTGCGTTCGAGAGGTTACGATAATGATGTTGTTCTCATTCGTTCGTTCGTTCGTTTGTTTATTTTTTCGTTCGTTCGTTTGTTTATTCTTTCGTTCGTTCGTTCGTTCATTCGATCAATTAATTGATAGATTATTAAGAGGTTGTTGCTGTTGTTCATTTGATCATTTTTTCTTTAATTCAATCATTTATTCATCCATCTTTTCATTCGTTCGTTCGTTCGTTTAGGAACACGACCTTGCGGGAACTACCAATACCGTTAAATGATGTTTTGAGCGCTTGCAAAATCAATCAACAAGCTACTGACGCCGCCATAAAGAAGGTGAATGAATGAATGAATGAACGAACGAACGAACGAACGAATGAATGAATAAATGAATTTAATAATTAATTAATTAATTAATAAGTTAGTTTATGAATAACGTTTTAGATCGAGTCGAGCCTAAGAAGGAACCAAACAATCCTTCATTTTGAAGACTACAGACCTACTCTGAGATTTGAACAGTGGATGTCTAACACATTCGATCAGGAGGTTGCACACACACACACATTCACACACACACATTCACACACACACACTCACACAGACACACATATTCACACACACACGCACACACATATTCACACGCACACACACACAGTTACTTACATCAGGAATTCGGGAACTTTCTGAATTACTGACAGTATTCAGCAATACTCTGGGCTACAGATCTTGTAATAAATTACTCGAGCGTGCCATTGAAAATTGTAGGCAGGTTCTACTGGACTCTGTTGCCATCAAAAAAGTTGGGAATTATTTTTATTTCTTTGGTTTTCCATCCATCACTCACTCACTCACTCACCCACTCACTCACTCACTCACTCACTCACTCACTCACTCACTCACTCACTCACTCACTCACTCACTCACTCACTCACTCTCTCACTCTCTCACTCACTCAATCACTCACTCACTCACTCACTCAGTCGTCCTCGTCAAAATTGATCATCATCATTGTTGTTATTATTACTGTTACTGTTTACTATTATTACGCAGTTTTAATAATTAATAATAGTAATAATAATAATAAAATTTCATAATTTTGTTACTGTTGTTGTTTAGTTCTTTGAGAGCACGTACCAGCATGTAAAATCGATGAAAGACTGTATGGTTGGTTGTGAGGTGGAGAGAGACATTTCAAATAGATACATGCACTTTTTGCAAGTCTGTTGTTCGTTCGTTCGTTCGTTCATTTTTTCGTTCATTCATTCATTTGTTCATTCATTCATTCGTTCGTTCATTCATTCGTTCATTTATTCATTCATTCATTTCTTGATTGATTTATTTATGTACCGATTCAACGGAACTGGCCTTGTTTATTATTATCATCATCATCATCAATTAATAATAATAACCATAATAAAATAATTATAATTATTATTCTTTCTAGGATATGATGGAAGGGTACGGAAAATTTACCTACGATTCATTTGCGTCACTGCTGAAAAACAAGGTGGCTAATTCTTCTCTTTTGCACATTTTTGCTTCAGGAATGTTTCATTCGCTCTTTTTTGTGTCACGTTATTCCTGTCCGGATATCACGCAATCCGGGATTACGTCTAATCCGGAAGTTTGCTCAATTTTGAGTTAGCTAAATCCGTGTAAACATAGATCTGAATTGAAATTATCTAATATTTGTATTTCCTTCCCTCCCGAAAATTGCACAGTTTAAACCGGAAAATTTCCATTTGACGGAAGAGGAGTTTGAGCGGACACGCTGGGACGTGGTGTCGCACATTCGGGACTACGGCTGCTCCCACCTCATGAGGTCCTGCTACGAAAGATTGCAGCTCTTCAGTGTGCAGGTCATGAACTATTCGCTGGAGGCACTGGACCTGGCAGCCGTTAGAGTTGTTAGTGTTTCGTGTTGTTTTTTTGTGGAGGTGATGGTAAATTATACTATTATCACAGTTGGCACTATTTAGTGTTTTTTCTTGGGAGGTGAAAATATAAACGCTTCACGCGCGTACTCATATTTTAATAATAATAATTATTATTATTATTATTAAAATTATAATTATAACACAACTTCAATACCCTACAGAAAATGTTAACAGCAAGAGTAGCCGATCAAATTGCGCGCGAAAACATTCCAAACGAGATGAATGAATTCGTCGGACCAATAGGAAACGAGTATGACGACATAGATGACGTCATCGGTAGCGGCCATCTTGTTTCCGGTGATCAGGCGGCCGGTGGTGGTGATGATGACAATGATGAGGTGATGACAACAATGATGATGATGAGGATGATGGGGATGTCGATGCTGATGATGATGATTGTTATGATTATTTTTATTATTATTATTTTTATTTAGTTTATGCCGCCCAAGAGAATCTCAAGCTCAAAGTGCAAGTCGTCGAGACCGGCCTCTGTTTTAAGTAGTTTTTAATTAACTATAATTTAATAATATTAGTTATTATTATTATTATAATGTTATTATTTTTATTATTATTTGAATTGTGTACTAAAAAACCAAACTTGAAAAACGAAACACTAGAATATTCGGAAGATTTCCAGGGAGCTGCCACCACTCAGGGACCTGTCTCGCCCCCCTTAGATTGTGACGTCAGCAACACTACCAGTCCTCCACTGGTGCATCTATGCAAGGATAGGCCCAAGAGGCCCAAAAGTCGGCCCCCTACTAAGCCCGTCAGGGACTCCGGGGAGGGTAACGATTGGGGTGACATGAGAAGTGGTTACGAGTTGTTGCAGAGTGGTTTGAGGTGGGTGTGTGTGTGTGTTTTGGGGTGGTTTGTCGTTTTGTTTATCGTTTTGTTATTTTCAAACTTTATTTTCCTTCTTTAATAATAACTATCTTGTGCTACACTCAACAGTCTTGGTGTAGAGCCACAACAACAACAACCGCAACAACATCAAACTATCATTCCTTGCTCAACTTCGTCCGCGCCAACAACTCCCAAATCCAAAAAGAGTGACGACAGTTTTTTGTCTTCAAGCATTTCATCGACCGGAATCTACGCCAAAAAACAACAATTGGACGCTGTTTTCAACTCCCCGGCCGCAACAACTTCACCACACCAGGCGACTGCTTGCGACAAATCCGCCACACCCTCCTCATCATCCCTTTCTCCAGTTCCGGCACTCAGGATCAAAAAATTGATGAAATCAGCCGCAAGCAACCCCACCCAGCAACAACAACTTCCTCTAACAGCATCTAGCAACGATCCACAGCTACCACTACCACCAGCAGCAGCTACAGTAGCAGCAGCTCTAGATGACAGCACATCACCAATCAGGAACAAATTTGCCGCCATGACACTCGAAGATCGGGAACCTTCCGTGGTTCAGTCAGCTCCTGCAAAACTTCGCAAGCCCCCCCAAGCCCTGAGGTCCGGTGGGGGTGGTGGTGGGGGCTTGATGCCATCTATGCAAGAGATCCAACAGAAGAGGCTGACTATGAAGCATGTTACTGATGACGAAGTTGGCACTCTTTCTTTCTTTCTTTCTTCCTTTTTTTCTTTCTTTCATTCAGTCATTGTTCATTCGTTCGTTCATTCATTCATTCATTCATTCATTCATTCATTCATTCATTCATTCATTCATTCATTCATTCATTCATTCATTCATTCATTCATTCATTCATTCATTCATTCATTCACTTATTCATTCATCCAGGTTCCCAACATTGTTGTTACAGACAGAAGTAAAAGAGCTTCAGGTTTTAATTATGAAAACAATTCTTCTACGTTCATAATAATGTTATTACTAACATTAATTACAACGACACGAACAGACAGCAACATACTGAGACCAACGCAAGCAGAGTTAAGCAGTGGGAGCGGTGCTGCAGAGGGGGGCTCAGGGACTGCCGAAGGGGGTCTAGGAGGGTCTGAAAGTCAACACAAGGGAGGCTACAAAAGGGGTAAACTCGTACCGCCACCACCACCGAAGCATAAAAGGAATAGCGCGAGTGGTAAATTTGGTGAGTTGGTTTGTTTGTTTGTTTGTTTGTTGGCTGGTTGGTGGATTGGTGTATTAATTGATTGATTGATTAATTAATTAATTGACTGATGGACGTTAATTAATTAATTAATTGGTTGATTATTTGAACTATTAATGTAAATAACTAGCGAAAATTCTTTTTCAGAATCAGCGGAGAGAAGAGATTAGGTGGAGAGCCTATCGCCTCGGGGAAACTAATTTTGTTACACACACTTATAATATATAATAATAATAATTATTAGTATTAGTATTAGTATTATGTTTATATACATGTGTATTTTTATATAATTTTCTATTTATAAGTTCCATTTTTATGAACTCTTAGCAGGATGTCTTCTGTTATATTATATATTTACATTCAATGATGATTGTACTCACAAAAACGTTATTCACACACGCGCACTCGCACACACATAAATACACACACACACACACACACACACACACACATATATATATATATATATATATGTTGGTAATAGACCATAATTTTTACAATATTCTATAAATTCTACCGAATGTTTGTAATATACCAAAGTAATATACCAAAGTAATATACCAGAACAGCAACTACACGCATCTTAAAATTGCAGAAGCAGTCCTAATTGACATCAATAAACCAAAAATAAATATACAACAAAAAATGACAACCTCACTTCCAACCCGGCGCTTAACCAACAACGAAAACAAAGAAGTAATAAAAACTAGCATCGTAAATAGTGACAAAGAAGAATATGATGCTATCGATGAAGAGAAGGAGACCAAAGAAGATGACCAGCCAATTAAGAAACCTGACACCTAATTCGCATCAAAGTTCAATTTTACAACACCAAAGTTAATTTTTACAACGTCAAAGTTCATCTGGACAAAGTCAATATTTCCCTATATATACAGCAAGGAGCACTGATGATGAT